CTATATAGTTATTGTATAGTATAATATGTATATATATATGTATAATATGTATATATGTATAATAATAGTTTTTTCTTTGGCCCTGCCTAAATTCATTAAAAGAAAATCCATTAAAAGAAAACTCCATACAATAAAACACAAGTATCACTGTTAAAGCTCCATGGCTGAATGTACAGTGTCACTACTGAGTTGGGCGGATGCTGGGCACCCTTGGCGCCCGCTCCGTCTCCTGCAATGTGACCGATAAGTTTTTGTCTCCCGACCAACGCCTCACCCACCCATTCAGAAGATTTGTCTTGATTCTTGATCATATCCTCCTCAAGTGATAGCCTTTATTTAACTCCTAACTCTCAAGAGCAAGACGTCCACTAATTCTCACACCGGTCTCACTGTTGTGAAGACCCCCGTCCTGCTGCTCCTGCTACCTCAGGACTCGGGACTAACTCTTGGCGTCAGCTTCGTGACGCCGCTATATATATATATATAAATACACAGCCACCCCCATGTCATCATATTGTAATAATACAACTATCAGAAAAATATGGCATCGATAAATCAAAGAATTTGGAACCGGTTCTCAACTGGAATTAATTTAACCACCTAATTTATGAAGGTACACAGGTAAACATTTTAATGTCAGGGTTTTGTCATACAGTACTGTTGCTGAGTACCTTTCCATTGTGGACTGCCTATTTATGATTTTTTGAGATGTCACCTTTTTAATCTCATGTTATTCTATTGTATCAGACAACTATCATGTATCAAGACGGTATTTGTGTTGAGAAGCTGAATATAAACACAAAATTGCGTGTCTTGTAATGTGTGAAGTTTTAACTGATAATTTCATCAGCAACAATCAGCCTTTTTGTTTACAGTTCTAACTATTCAATTAATGAGTCAGTGTGACTGTTTTTCTATAAATGAGTGGGCATGATCTTTCAGTCTTTACTGAAATCTTTACAGTTTTTCTTACAGACATTTTTGCATGTTGTTTATTCCTCTTTCTTCCTTCTAAAAGACTAAGAAAGTTTGGTTAACAAACTACAGAAGAGTTTAATTAGTTTTGCAGATGTACATCCTTGAACAGTTTGTGATATATTTGCAGACTTTTGTATTTGTATTAATTCTGTTGCATTTCTTTACGAATAAATATGAGCAGAAACACATTTTCTGGAAGAATCAGGTGCAGGTCTGTGGGCTCATTGAAACCTGAGTGGGGTTTTGGAGCAGTGTACCTGTTCCATGCTGAGCTGACCTCTCTCCAGGACCTGACGGAAGCCTATCTTTCCATGGAATAAGCCACGCTGGTTTATGAGAGTGGAGGCCTGCTGGAGGCTCTGACACACTGGAATGCCCTCTGACAGGTTGGCATGGAGGCCAATGGGTATCTTGTGCCTGACAAGAAAAGAAACAGGTCATATCATTCGTTGGGGAGTAACAGAATACAAGTAATAGTGTTACATATTCAAATTAGGGAACTTAAAGGGATTACTTTATTTGTTTTTGCTTTTTTCGCTCTAAAATGCATTACCCATAAACAGATTTTTGCACCTGCCACTTACAATGGCAGAAGATATGCATAACTGGGACACTGTCAGTAATGTGTAAATAAAGCATGGAAATGTTTAAAGAACATTTTAGCTACACACATGGTCAAGAAAGTTGCAACATTATGGTGCAGTACAAGCTCTGCTTACAATTAACCAAGCTGCTTTCCATATCAAAAGTCTAATCTTGAGGTATGGTAAAGTAAGCTAATAGTTACAGGACAAAACATACCACAGTTGTGTTTTGTGTACTTTAGGGAAGGTACAATATTACAATATTATTCCATATCGCGATAGGAATTTTCCTTATTGTGAATCTTAAAAAAGCCGTCTAGCTCGCCAGCATACAGTTTTGTATTTATTTTAAACTAGACAAGGGGGAGGCCGCATCTTTCCAGTCATTCCAAAATTCTACGCTTGTCACCATGGCTGAAGGTTCAGGTTGTCCACTGTATCCCCCACAAAAAAGTATGTGTGGAACAAAATGTAAGGTAAAGTGATTGCAGTATTTTTAAGTATATTTCCATGATTATTGTGACAATACCGCAATTATTTTAGCCAAGATAATTGTAACATAATATTTGATCATGACATCCCTATACAGGAGGCTTTTTTACTTTTATAGTTCCAATGACTTCATTAAGTCAAATATTTATATTTTAACACATTTCTTAAACATTAACATGTGTGCTTTAGCACATTTTTGCTGGGCGGAGCAGTAGAATTTACAAGAAACTTTAAAACTCTCCAAACAGAGCAATGCCAAACAATGTTTTAAGGAAGACTAAATCTGGTTCATTTAAATAAGAGTACATTTATCGTTCATGTAAAGATCGGCAGGTCTACACAACAGTTTGTTTAAACCACAGCATCTAATGCACATGCTAAATATATAAACCAGGGTGTTACTGTAGTTCATTACATCTGGACACGATTTCTAAATCCTCTGTCACAGCACCAGAACCTAATGATCTTTCTCCTTCAGTGCCCTTTACCTGCCAGACTGATGAGATATTACACAGATTCTGAGTGTATAGAAACTCTGTTCGAATTCTATAGTGACCATCCTCTGGAATCATGTGTCCATGTGGGACATTTTTTAACTGCCATTTTTCAACTATCTTCATGCAATCATTCTAATTACTATTACTATACTATACTAAAGAGTAGTGTATAATGTAGTAATGTCAATAATTATTATTAATAATTGTACTATACGTTATTGTACAGTGTTCCTAGAAAACTAAATTCATCAAAAAAATTACATAATCTATTATAGATGCAGCGGCTGGGAGCTCCTTAAAAAAATCCTAAATTTTTCTGGCTTTATTGCTGAAACATCATTGTCATCAGTGATGCCTGCTTGGGTTTGATGGGCTTTACAATAATATAGTATATAGATAGTGACAGCTGAAGAGTGACAGGAAAGGGGAGAGAAAGAAAGGGGATGACAACCAGCAGAGGGCCACAGGTCAGAGTTGAACCCATGGCCGCTGCAGCAAGGACCCAGGCGCCGGCACATGGGGTGGAGCTCCAACAGGTCGGCAACCAGGGCACCGCAGCTCTTTCTATAACTGATATGAAATTCAATTGTGTACAATGAAGCTGTGCCTTTGTACCTGCCACTGTTTTCTTATGGTACGCCGTGTCTGGCGTGTACTCCTCTTTTTTATCGTGGTTTTCTAGCAGTTTTTAGACGTGAATAAAAGTTCAAATAATACAGAATTTTCAGCGCATGGCACGGACTCACACTGTTTGTCAATTTCACTCTTGGCCCAGACAGCCAATCAGATCAAGCAAGAGGTGGGTTTTACTTCTTACTTTCAGTTTTGAGCCAGCTAGCTAGCAGCTAATTAGCTAGCATAGCTTAGCCAGATAGTTAATTAGCTAGCTATTTGCCTGTAAGAGAACTATAAAACAGGGGTGTAAGAGGGGGTGAACTGAAGTTACCTCAGCTATCTACCTCTTTAAAATGAAATGAAGAGTTCACACATCTAGAGCTCTACGTCTGCCAAAAACATTATTTCTGTTAATCACGCTGCCTTCAAAAACGCATCGGAGAAAAACAGCGAGTGGAAGCAGCCGTACCTATAGCAATGTGTCTCTGTGTAATTGGTCCCTTACATGGCTAAAATATTCCATGCTTTTACATTTAATTAGAGCTGAGCTGGATGTGTCTCAGTGTAAAATAATGCTATAGATGTCTGGCCAGTTATGTGAGGGAGTAAGAAAAATACACTACCAAACAACCAATGGACACAGGGCCTGGTACATCACTTGCTGTTTTAACAGATCTTAAGTGTGTTAGGATTTAAGTTACAGTACAACAGCAGTTTGTCAGCACCTACTACCTTTTAGCCAGATCTGCTGCCTCTTTGGCAGCAGATGCGTTAACCAGCAGTGACACATTGGAAATGCCTCCAGCCTGGAAGCAGTCCACAATCCCCTGGTTCCTCCTGGGACAGTAGCCGAAATCATCTCCTGTCACCACCAGCATCATTCTGGGCTGTGGCATTATTGCTGTTCCCTATGGAGGACACACAGGAGACAGTGTAACATTCATAATAAGGGCAGCTAAGGCTCAGCAGGCACAGCTTGTTATCCATTAATTAATTAATAAATTAATTAATTAATAAATAAGTGATTCAAGGACATTCCCAGCTCCTATTCAAATGTCGAATGAAAGATATATAGACATTACAAAAATGAGGAATGAAATCATAAAAACCGTAAAACTATGATTTATAATGCATAGAATGCAACAGTGCCTCCTTATGAGAACATTGGCTGGTTGTTTGTTGAGTTGTATTACAGAAGTTGGTAGGAAAGAAAGCTTTAAAGGTCAACTGTGTAACATTGAGGAAGATATATTATAATCACCAGATTTTAATCACCAGAAAATAACACAGCGTAGCTTAGTTTCTCACTCGCATTTGGAAAGGGGGAAGTAAGTGAGCTGCCGTCTGCAACTATATAGATGCCTCTAATCCTACACACTGGACCGGTTGTTTGTACATTTACTTGCTCATCTGATGGTAATAATAATTTATATTGGGATATACCATGTGTGAAGGTGTTTTCACCATGTTTTCAATTCTCGAGTTTAAATGGACTGTAAAGGTGCAATACCATGATGCCATAGCATATCTAATGATGCTTACCAGCACAGCATTGTAAAATGTTCACATGATCCCGGTCCTCACACCAAACAGACTGTGGAAAAAGTGAGGTCTCTGAGCCGGCCTAGCACACAGATGGTCAACATGGATTTTATTGTCCATTTGTATGCACTTACAGAAGCAGACCTGTTCACTGTCACCAATGACAGTCAAATATAATTTTGTTGGCGTTAAAAACAAGATGGTGGCTATGACACCTTGTGATGCACTGAAAGGCCTTTTCCACCAACAAGGAACCAGCTCAGTTCCGGATTTTGAACCCTTTGGAAAATTTTGATCAAAATAAATTGGTTCAGAACCAGAAAATAAGAAAACAGGTTTTCCTTGGGAACTTATGCAGGCGTGTCATATTCTACAGTTAGTTAAGCATCCCTCTGTTGATGACACATCCTTGATTAGAATGGTTCTGCTCAAAAATGGTGGAAATGTGGGCTGGTTTGATAGAGAGCATCAAGGTTCCAGGAATCTTGAACTGAACCAATTCAAGACCCAAAGCTAATTTGGTGGAAAAATTACCTAAGGGCAGTTATCATGCTTAAAATAAAATTAGATTTTATAATTATTTGCAACACTTCCTTAGTTTTTTATATATATATATATACAAAAAAAAAATCAAGTATAAGTCGAATACACTTTTCCCAAAGATGGTTTCTGGCATTTTAGGTAGTTCTTATCACACTGATTTATGTTTACGTGTTGATTTTTCTGATAAGTTTGTTTTTAATAAGTTATTTGAAGCTATAAAAAGGGGTTTCATGTCATGAATGACAGTCAAGCCCTGTGTGCGATTGAGTTGGGCGGATTGACAGGACTTTGATGCAGCATCGCCAACCCCGAACACTACTGCTTAGACCCTGACTCCAAGTGGAGAAAGATTGCAGCAGCCTTATTCAGGATATTTTGGCTTCATTTTTGTTTAGTGGGAAAAAGTGGAGACGTGACATCCATGTTATGGATGATTAAAATTGGTTGGTTCATAGGATATAGGATTTTATAGGATTTTTCCTTCCTTTATAGGATTTCGATATAAAAATAAAAATAAACAGATTGTAAATGTTTTTGCATACATTGTTACAGGAATGTAACAGGAGTACAATATGACTGGGCATGTGATCATAAAGGGTTAAAAGGCATTTTTTAAATACCATCTGGCCTATAAGGCTCCATTCCATTCTAGTCAAGCACAGTCAGAGTGCTGCTATTGTTGGCTCACTGACTTTGCACGTACTTTACACTAAATAGAACTGAACCTTAATTAGTTGGTAACACTAGGGTGGTTTACCCTACTATTTCCTGTCAAAATTGCTGCTGTGAAAATGTTTTATTGAAACACAAATGTCTGTTTTGCATGTAATTTTATATAAAATAATCTAAACTCGAAATTGGAGTGACAGCAGTGAGGAAATCCACAGCCGTTACCTGTGTCCAACATAATGCTCTTTTTTTAAACTGAGGCTGTTAATAAAGCACTACAGCGATGGTGTCGTTTGTGGTGCTGTATAGCAGTGCGGATTGGCACTTAATTTTGGTCAATTTTATATACAGTACATGGGGGGCCAATATATTTAAGACACCTATCAACAAACCACCAGAAAACTATGTTCTCAGTAGTTACCACAGCGTTGAATTTACTCCTCTCTCATAGTTAAACAAAACTGAGCATTATAATGCTATCTTTCTTTGCCGGGGTACACCGGCTAAATCTCCTCTGCTTTTCAGTGTTACTTTGGGGCGACCCACTGTTACATCACTGACACCCTGGTGACTCAAACGAGAAGAACATTATCGAACACTCTCAAATAAAACTCAATCTTACCCATTGTATTACACGCGTCTTTCCATATATCCAAAGCCACACAGGCACGGTAAGCTCTACTTCCGACTAGCCAACCGCATTAGTGTAGGTTGGAGCAGAGAATGTCTAATAAGGGG